TCGAATGTCATGGTTTTTGCCTGCCTATCTTTTCTTTGCAGTTTCGTATTTCAAACGCGTGATTCAGTGGCAGTAGAGATGGCACCTAGGAAGGGTTTCTCGTTCTTCACTCCGGTCATCAGCCCTGAATTAAGTCCACAATTGACTTGGTTTATTCTAAGTTCGAAAGTTTGTGGATCAACGCCGACGCAATACTTTAAGCGTTCGCCTGTTGTCGCCAGTTGTCCAAGCGATTTTCAAAGAATCGACAGTGCCCACATTCGGCTGCTAGATGGCCACCATTACTCGAACAAGAAGTCCTCTAATGCAACGGAAATTGTCTGTTCCTCGTTTGGGTTGATAACCACTCTGCTTCGCCGTTCCTCTTCAGAAAGCTCTGAGTTCATTTCGCAGCTGAGAGATTTGCTGAACTCAGTAGATCCCAGTAAAATGTCTATCGACGAAGAAAATGAAGGCCAAGCAAACAAAGAACGACCACGTGCTTCACGATGCTTGGAAATGCCAACGACACCAACGAACAAGACATCATCTGTGGCCATGACACCCCCAAACAGTGGAAACTCGCAAAGAGCTGAAAAAAAGAATGTTTCCCCAAATCTAAAGGAGATCAGCGAAAAGGAAGATTTGGATACTCCAGAAAAGGTGCTGTTGATGAAGCAGCGAAGCAGCGCGTCATCAAGGACGTGCATGACGTGTGCGAAAGAAACAGGGAAAGTTTGGCGATGGTGCTTTCGAACATGTGCGCATCTGGCGACCCAGAAGCGAAGGCCATCGTCAATGAAATTGTCGAAGAGATGGCTGTAAAAAGGGGAGTAAAGAGGAGTGTGGAAGAGCTAGTTGGCGACGACACAATGTCGAAGTACGTGGCGTGCCTGAGAGTTCCTGATTGGAAGCTTGTCCTTTTCCAGGCGATGGCGAGAGTTTCTTCGAAAACGTGGCAATCCGTGATAAACATCACAGGGCTCAGAAGGACGGGGGTAAGATGTTTAGTTACGTTGGTCTTACGTCGGTATAATATTAATATTCATACTTGGCGCCCTGGCTAAGGGAATAAAAGAACAAAAAAGAACTATTCCATCGCGAGCCTCAATGTTTATAGCAGCTCTTTCTTTTGTTTTATTCAGTTATTCTCGTAAGCGAAGCCTTGTACGGGAAAAGATAAGCAGGCTTTTTTTATTACTTAAGCGGGCGTTTTACTCAACTGCGTCTTCAAAATTACCCTATGTCTGTTTTCCAGAGCAATTTGAGCCAGTGGTAAGCTCTTTTTCAGCTGGTGAAATATGCTGGAAGCCGGCTCTTAGTGACAAACCCTGGACCATTAATATAGAAGGTCATCGCCCTACTTCCTATTAATATTCCATGACACCAAGTGTAAATTTAAAATATAATCTTTAAGTTTTTTCCCATGAAATTCTGTTGATAGATGCTGTTTGAACTGGTAGAGCTTTATTCATCAAGAACTCAAAAATATATATGAGGAAAATAAGCGGTAAAAGCAGTACTTTAACTCATTTTTTTCAAATTTGAAGAACATAGGGCTGGCAAAGTGATAAAAGTTTCTCATAAAATGGTCACAAAGACCCTTGCTGACTGTAGCAATGTTATTGTTACAGGTCAAATTATGTTCAAGGGAAGATTTTTTAACCTACAGAGGTTGATTCTCTGTTTCCTTTGTTTCCTAGGACTAGTAGGAGACAAAGGAAACAAAGAATCAACCTAGATTAAAAAGTTTAATCTTTGCTTTTTATCACCTTGCTTTCTATTATTTTCTTAGAAATCCTCTCACACGCCTCTCCTCCTCAACTTAAACCAGATCAAGGCAGCTAAGAAGATGGTTTTTGGAGCTTGTAAGGAGTATATGGGGGTTAAGAAGGTGGCTCCTCCTATACAAGGTTTCTCTGTGAATTTGAGTTGTGTTGTGGAGTTAATCGTAAGGGAACAAAGGCTGCACCAGCTGTCTTCACATGCTTTGCGACTGATGATGAAGCTTGATGGGAGACCATTTTGGGGTAAAATTATGTGATAATGCATGCTGTCTCTGCAGTTTTGTCTGTAAATTATTTTATTATTATTGTTATAAAAGGTCGTTCCCCACGTATGATAATCATCCACATTTTTTTTTTGCGTGTGTGTGTGTGTTGTACTTCCAAATCAAAATAACTATAACTGTTAAATTTTTTTGGCCTTGCAAGCAGTTCTTTGTATGGAAGGTGGTCATTATAATAATGTGTAAGGTGAAATGGGTTGGTGAAGGGTGCAGTACTAATTTAGTGTAAAAAATTGTTTTGCAGGTAGAGCTCAGGTGTTGTTTGGAATATTGTTCCCCGTGATGGTGCTGTATATAGCCTGGAAAGTGCAAAATCAGTCTACCCATTGACAATTGCCAACTGTAAAGAAGACAGGTTTGTGAATTGCAACTTGCTTGAACTCTTTACTACCTTCTGGCTTGAATATGCTTGTGGTTGTATGTGCATTTAACTTAAATAACACAATGACAGATTTTTGTAAGCCCCACTCAGTTGCAATATCACCAGGTCATGCATCCACTCTGAGATCTAAGTGGATTGATATCAATATCCCTAATTTGGCTTTAATGCACTAAATATAACAATGACTGTATAGATTTTTGGTTTTTGTTTGTTGACAGAGACAACCTCAAGATTCTTTTTTGAGGACATCAACCACCAGAAGAAAATATTTAAGGAAAAAGGAATGACAGTTGATGGTAGACATTATACCATTGAATTTCTGGGTAAGAATCAATGTTAGTCTTGGAATTTGCTTTAAAAGTCAACTTCTTGTTCATGATACTATTTATAGCAATTTATTGTGTTTCTACCCAGTTGGTAGTCTGACTAGAACTAGATTGAAGCAGTAGTCAAACTATAGTAAATTAAGAGTTTTTTTATATTGTAAAACATGTTCAAGGTTTAACTGCCGCAGCAAGAAATAAAACCTGGAATTTATTACTATTTTACGTCAGAAATTGATTTGACTACCCTTTTCTTTAGATACATTAGAGATTAATTTCCTGGAAAGTTTAGCATGTTAACTTTTGCTTTCCCATTTCTGTTAGCAAACTTAGTTGTACTGGACTGCAAGACCTTGGTACTTCTTTTGGTGAAGAAGATAAATGCTTCATTCATGTTAGGTGGTAGAGGTGTCAGTGTCGAGTTCTGTTTCATCTGCAATGCTATCAGGGTAAAGTACTCAAATGATATAGAAATTAGTATGGGGCAACTGCAACTTGTGCTGTTAAAGTTGAGGTACATAAAAGTGCTGCATCAGTTCATCAACTTTTTTTACAGTGATTTCAGATGACTTTGATCTTTGCCAATATTTGGGAAAATAATTAGTGAGTGATAGAAACATTAAGTAGCTTTAATTCAGTCAAAAAAAGTTGTAAAGTACTACTCTAAAGGTCATTCTGCTTTAAAACATTTAAAAATCACTGAAAGTATGAATACATGTACTGTAAAAAGAACAGGGCTCACACAGAGTCATAAATTCTTGGAAAAGTCTTGATTTTCCAGACCTGGAAAGAGTCTTGAAATTGAAGATAATGTCTAGAAAAATAGTTCAAGTCTGGAGTTTTTTTATAACTACAAAAAGTGCTTAATAAGTTAGTTTTTTTCCCCTGTGGTCAATTCAATCTCGCCTGTAGCTAAGACATTCAATCACAGAATGAGAAGTTTCACAATTGCACCATGGTTATTGTACATTTGCAGTGCATCATGAAAGAAGCTTGGTTTCTGCATTTTTCAAGATATCTATTGATCACCTATTTGACCATCTTCAGTCTGGAAAAATAAATTGATGTTTTGGAAAAAAGGTCTGGGAAAAGTCTTGAATTTTGGATCCAAAAATCTGCATGAACTCTGAAGAAGATAATCGGAAGCATGATAAATGTGTAGTTCTATCTGAAATTATAATATTATATATTATTTGATAGTGTGCCTGTTTTTGTCAGGGTTGCAAATGCCATGATGTAGCTCCAGATGAGACATGCCTGGATTGCCTCAGAAGCAAATGCAACATGGGAAGGTGTGTAGGCATTTGATCATTGTCATATTAAATTACATTCAAACACATAAAGGGGATTTTCTTACTGTTACATAACAAAATGAATTTTGTAAGCTATGGGGAAATGACTTGTACTAAAGCATGAACTGAAATTAAGTGTATAGTTTGGGGGTTTTTTTTAAATTGTTGCTAGTAAACTAAAATCCTCATTCAGGATCTTTTGCCAAACTTGGAAGGTTGCCAAAAATTTTTTTTCATACTGTCAGGAAAGGAATACTCATAGTTTGGTAATTGAAAAAGAAAAAGTAAAACATTTTTAGAGAAAAACATGAAATAATTCATTGCTTCAGAAAATCAATCACTCTTTGAAATTGTCTTCTAGATCAACTGGTATACAAGATGATCTGGTTTTTCTTTTAGATGAAGAGCTTTGCAACATTCAACTTTGTGCTCTCCATATGGAGATGTGCAACACTGAACAGTTGTTGGCATCCATTGGTCTTCTTGCATACAGGGTAGATTCCCTAGCAGAGGCCAATGCTGCCTTGAAAAACTATGGCCCAGAGTCATTTCATGGCGATCGCATCTCAGTAAAGAAGAAGTCAGATCAACAGTCTGCTATTACAAAGCAGAATATCCATGTCAGTTCAATGTCTGGTAAGACATTTCCTAAAATAATGTTTTCAAGAGATGTTTTCCGTAGGTCTTAGGTAAAATATTTTTTCTTTCTTTTTTAATTTGCTCTCATGCTGTTGTGTTTCAGGTCCAACAGAACGGGAAATCCTTCAACACCTTGAAGAAATTGTAGAACTTGCCCTACCACTGGATAAATTCAAGAAGCCGTATGAAGATGTAAACACGGCAAAAAATTTGATCCTTAACAGAGTTACATTTTACCAGGCTCGTGTTGATGTTAGTAAGAAGCAACTATTATTTTTATTCTTGCAACTTGATTTAACATCATGTAGTCAAGTTCACTGGTAATGTGTATTCATTGAGTTCATACATCGTCCAGACGATCCGTCGGAGTGCGCTTTAGGAATCAAATACCTCTGTGAGTATTTCTTTAATTACTACAGTCTCCTATGTAATTTGCCCATCTTATGACTAATTCCATCACACAGCAGCTTGAAATTAATGGAGCTCCATTAACTGAAAGCTACTGCATGTAGGAATATAGGTGAGCTCAGGATTGAAGTGTGAACCATTGTTTAATTTTAGCATGTCTGATTCTGTTAGTTAACACACCTTAAAGTGTAGAGTAACAGAATTTTCTATAGTTAGAGATCCATAGGTGCAGTGTAACCCAGTGTTTAATTTAGTTCAAGGTAACTAACATAGGCTGCACTTTAGGTGATACACCCATGGGTGCAGTGTAACCCAGTGTTTAATTTAGTTAAAGGTAACTAACATAGGCTGCACTTTAGGTGGCACACCCATGGGTGCAGTGTAACCCAGTGTCTTATTTAGTTAAAGGTAACTAACATAGGCTGCACTTTAGGTGGCACACCCATGGGTGCAATGTAACCCAGTGTCTCATTTAGTGAAAGGTAAAGACTGCACTTTAGGTGGCACACCCATGGGTGCAGTGTAACCCAGTGTCTTATTTAGTTAAAGGTAACTAACATAGGCTGCACTTTAGGTGGCACACCCATGGGTGCAGTGTAACCCAGTGTCTTATTTAGTTAAAGGTAACTAACATAGGCTGCACTTTAGGTGGCACACCCATGGGTGCAGTGTAACCCATTGTTTTCTTTAGTTAAAGGAAACTTACTTTGGCTGCATTTAGGTGGTACACCCATAGGTGCAGTGTAACCCAGTGTTTTCTTTAGTTCACGGTAACTAACATAGGCTGCATTTTAGGTGGCACACCCATGGGTGTAGTGTAACCCAGTGTTTTATTTAGTTAAAGGTAACTACTGTAGGCTGCACTTTAGGTGGCACACCCATAGGTGCAGTGTAACCCAGTGTTTTCTTTAGTAAACGGTAACTAATATAGGCTGCACTTTAGGTGGCACACCCATGGGTGCAGTGTAACCCAGTGTTTTCTTTAGTAAACGGTAACTAACATAGGCTGCACTTTAGGTGGAACACCCATAAGTCTAGTGTAGCCCAGTGTTGTATTTAGTAAAGGTAACTAACATAGGCTGCATTTTAGGCGGCACACCCATGGGTGCAGTGTAACCCAGTGTTTTCTTTAGTAAACGGTAACTAACATAGGCTGCACTTTAGGTGGCACACCCATGGGTGCAGTGTAACCTAGTGTTTTATTTAGTTAAAGGTAATTAACATAGGCTGCACTTTAGGTGGCACACCCATGGGTGCAGTGTAACCCAGTGTCTTATTTAGTTAAAGGTAACTAACATAGGCTGCACTTTAGGTGGCACAACCATGGGTGCAGTGTAATCCATTGTTTTCTTTAGTTAAAGGAAACTTACTTTGGCTGCATTTAGGTGGTACACCCATAGGTGCAGTGTAACCCAGTCTTTTCTTTAGTTCACGGTAACTAACATAGGCTGCATTTTAGGTGGCACACCCATGGGTGCAGTGTAACCCAGTGTTTTATTTAGTTAAAGGTAACTACTGTAGGCTGCACTTTAGGTGGCACACCCATAGGTGCAGTGTAACCCAGTGTTTTCTTTAGTAAAAGGTAACTAACATAGGCTGCACTTTAGGTGGCACACCCATGGGTGCAGTGTAACCCAGTGTTTTCTTTAGTAAAAGGTAACTAACATAGGCTGCACTTTAGGTGGCACACCCATGGGTGCAGTGTAACCTAGTGTTTTATTTAGTTAAAGGTAATTAACATAGGCTGCACTTTAGGTGGCACAGCCATGGGTACAGTATAACCTAGTGTTTTATTTAGTTAAAGGTAATTAACATAGGCTGCACTTAAGGTGGCGCACCTATGGGTGCAGTGTAGCCCAGTGTTGTATTTAGTAAAGGTAACTTCCTTTGGCTGCACTTTAGGTGGCACACCCATGGGTGCTGTGTAACCCAGTGTCTTATTTAGTTAAAGGTAATTAACATAGGCTGCACTTTAAGTGGCACATCCATGGGTGCAGTGTAACCTAGTGTTGCTAATGAGTGACTGTAACCCAGTTCAGTTTTTTCTAGAAAGTGCTGTCCTTTAAGTAGCATAAAGACATGCAGACATTCCCTTTAAGACAATGAAATTGGTGTGAGGGAACATTTCTTCAAGTAGTATGGTAGCACAATGTTATGTAATTAATGCATTTTTCCAAATGTTTAGTACTTTTCAGAAGCTTTAAGCAAGGGCACTTTTGTAAGAGATTTTGGTACACATACTGAGATAATTGATTTGGAAGGCTCAGGTTTGTAGAACAACAGTAGTAATAACACTTTGTTTTTTCTTTGGTTACAAGTTCTGATTTTTTCTCTCACTGGCTAAAGAAGGTTTACCATACTATGATATGACTTTATTGAGTGTTTTATGCTTAAATAAAAAAATTTTGGAAAATGAGTTTGGAAAATATTAAAATAATTAAACTTGATGATAATACTTACCTTAAAAGAATACTTACAATACTGCCTGCCACTCAGATGATCAGCAAGCAATTATTGCGAAGTTAATACGATACAATGAGCAAGCAAGGCAACAATGCAAATGCAGCATTAGCCACAAACACAAAGGAGACCCAGCAAAAACCCCAAGGGCTGCCACAGAGGTCATTTACCGCAAAGGCAGAGACCACTGACCAGCTTTGCTCCAGTTTAACTTTGCCTAAATGATATTTAGCCACATCAAAAGGAGCTTTTTGTTTTTAATTCCTCAAAAATATTTACCCAAGGAAAACAAAATGTTTACTTGCAACAGTTATTTGAATGATGTGATAACATATAGGGCCTCTCATTACAGTCTTTCTCAGGTCTTATTTCAGTTTTTGGCTATTTTGCAGATATTAAAGCTGACATGGAGTCTCGCCTTGTTCAGTGGCAAGGCAAGTTGGATGAGCTACATGTCTTTTTCAAGAAGTTGTGCAAGTCACGCAAAAAGTCACTATTCACTATTCACTATTTTTTTTCTTGCGTTAGATCTGCTTTTTTCGATTCGATTGCACCTTGACTATTTTTGTACCGCTACTCCTCTTGCGTTATATTTATTTAAATGAGCAATCTTTAAAAGACAGGAAATGTCCTTCTTTCAATAAAGTGGCGGAATAAAACAATTACACAAAGATATTACTATGATACTTTTTGGTAGGAAATATTTTATTTTTGACCAGCACTGTTATGCCTAATTTTGTCCATAAAGGGACAAAATTGCTCCGATTTTGAGACGACATTACAGCTTTTTGGCAGCGATCGCCAAGAAACTGAATGTGCCACGGAATTACACCCAATTAAGAAAGATATTTTCTCCCTTCCAGCAGTCATTAGAAAGCCGTTTTGTCCCCTCAAAATCGGATGTAGTTCACACGTTAAGGGTAATAAACTGATAAAAAATGATTTACAATTATCCTGTTGTCAATAGGTTCTTATTCACGTAAGCTGGGTCATAAACTATTTCTTGTGGCAGAATCATGGGGAAGAAGTTGTCCTTCATTTTAAAATCGCTGAAATTGTAGTAACTAAACTTTGAATGAAACTATTGTAGGAAGATTCATTACTTGACGAGGGAATTCCGCATTTAATTGCACGCGAAAAGCGATACGCGAAGCGATGAGTGCGATATCGGTTTTTAAGTGCAATTTAACGCGGAATTCACGAGCCAAGTAATGGATTTTCCTTGAATCACATATTTGAATAAAAACAAGATAAAAAGAAAACAGCATTACTTATATTTGTTATGTATACGTGGATGCAAAACAATGTCACTTAGCCCCGCTAAACAACTCCCCTCGTCAACCAATCAGAAGGCGAGATTTTATGCAATGATGCGATTCTATCTGATATTAGGTCTGCTGACTTGGAAAATACTACACCTAAAATTTAACATCAGCAATCTTACGGGAGAAAACATAAAGGCTAGGTCTCTCTGACGGCTTATCTCTGGTTGACATTTTAACCAATTCTCGGACCCTTTCATAAAAACCCAACAAAGACGATATCGCCTTAAGCATTCTTCCCAATGAAAAAATGTCACTGGCAACGCTATAGAGTCGTTCACTAACAACCTCAGGGGCTAAATAGCTTTTCCCTTTGCATTTCATAACGGTGCCGTTTCCGCGGTACAACGTAACAGATGAAACCTTAAGGCTCTTTCCAAAGTCAATAAGAACTGGGCTGAATTCCCCAGAGGCTGAGGGCCGTTCTAGTACAAAATGTTTCCTTTGATGTCGTTATGAAGGTATCCTTTAGAGTGCACGTGGTCTAAAACACTGCATATCTTTTTAAATATAGAAATACAGTTTGCTTTAGTAACTGCGTTGTTATCGGCCGCTTGATGGAGAGTTACACTTTCTTGCTGAACACCATGAAATTGAGTCACAAGGCATAATGGTGAGGCCTTTGTAACAACACCAAAAATCATGGGTAGATGTGGATGGTCCCCCAAAGCAGAAACGACCTTTGCTTCGTGGAGTAAATCTCTCCTTGCTCGTTCTTCATCCTCTGACGTTTCGTTGTGAGTCATTTGCTTGACAGTAACGTCGATGCCTCGATAGCGCCCGAGAAAACACTGTCCAAAGCTTCCACTCCCAACTGGATTTTTAGACAAGTATTCAATGTTTTCTGGCCTGAGTTCTTTGGGTTCAAATCTGGATCTATTGCTCGCTGTGGTTTTTTTCCAATTAAAAAGGTTTGATGACGTTTCCCACGAGGTTTCTGCGAGACAACTGCGTCGGCACCAACAGCCATTTGAATCATCTTAGCAGCTCTTGAACAACCACCCAAGGCCTCTTTCTTCTCTTCACTGCCTGGTTTAAGCGCGAGGATATGGGGTTTCTTGACATTTTGTGGCTCAAAATATTGGTCCGAAGGAGGCAGTTTCGTTTCCTTAGCTTCAGAAGTACAAGGCACCAACTCATTCGCTTCGCGGTTGAGTGATTGTAGTTCAACATTTTTATTCGTTGAATTCGGCATTTGTTTCCCTTGTTTCCTCTTTCTCCATTCTTTTCTCTGTCTGTTTCTTTCTTCTGGAGTGTTTTTTCGTGATTTAATAACTCGCTCTTTTCGTTCTTCTTCATCTTCAAAATCCTTCACAAATTCCGCCATCATTATGTAGCTAATTGATCTATTTCCGAAACACAAATGAGCTCGTGATCGGTGTAAAAGTATAAAACAAAGGCTTGTTGATGTGCAGGAAATTCAATGCTAGTTTTAATGAACTTGATGATATGTGAAAGCCCGAGTTGCTCTTCAATCGTTTCTGGTTTGCTTTCATTACGTGACATTCTTCTGTCAGAAGTGTGTCGGGAAAAACACCTCGCAAGGATCGTACGTGACAACACCCTCCACGCCTCGACTAACGCTAAAAAAGCTCCATACAATTCCTTATAATTTTATTATAAGGAATTGTATAGAGCTCTCCGGGATACTTACAGTGCAAGCCCTGTGTGTCTTCTCATGTTGTAAAACTACCAGCAGACATGGAGGAGAAGATCGTCGAATTCCATCGGTTTGTGTTAAGGGCCCGGAGACGGCATGACTACCAGTTAAGCCACATCCTAAACACGGACGAAACTCCTATGCGATTTGAGCTGCCAGCCACATGAACCCTCGAGTTTACAGGCAACCGAACAGTGCGAGACGAAGTGTTGATGTTGCTGTTATTCCCGGTGGCCTGACGTCAGTTTTGCAGCCCCTAGGCGAGTGCATAAACAAGCCTTTCAAAGCCAAATTCCGAATGCTGCATGAAATATGGATGGTAAATGGCCCGTTCACGTATACCCCATCTGGAAAGAAGAGAGCGCCGAGCAAAGAACTGGTGTTGACCTGGATCGATCGCGCCTGGAACGGTATTCCTCAAGATTTAACTGAAAAGTCGTTCAAATCCTGTGGAATCGCAAATGCACTAGACGGCTCAAAAAACGATGCAGTATGGGAAGAAGAGAATGAAGAGACGGAAGATGCAGAAAAGATTATTGACAATGAATTAGAGACCGGCAGTGAAGGCGAAGAAGGAGAATAAAACATACCTGCAGCAGTATTAGTAGAACGATATACGTGCGCAAGCCCCGAGTCATTGCAAGCAGCTGTGACCTTTATGTGCTCAGGTCAGAGCTTTTTCAGAAGAATGGCCAGTGCACGATCATGATAATCCTTTGCCTGACTCAGGTCACCCAGCTTTTTGTGTACAATACCCAGGCTATTGTAATAACTTGCAACGTGAACATGATCAGGTCCAAGCTTTTTCAGAAGAATGGCCAGTGCACGATCATGATAATCCTTTGCCTGACTCAGGTCACCCAGCTTTCCGTGTACAATACCCAGGCTATTGTAAGAATTTGCAACCTCAACATGGTCAGGTCCAAGCTTTTTCAGACGAATGGCCAATGCACGATCATGATAATCCTTTGCCTGACTCAGTTCACCCAGCTTTCCGTGTACAATTCCCAGGCTATTGTAAGAATTTGCAACGTCAACATGGTCAGGTCCAAGCTTTTTCAAAAGAATGGCCAGTGCACGATCATGATAATCCTTTGCCTGACTCAGGTCACCCAGCTCATCGTGTACAATACCCAGGCTATTGTAAGAACTTGCAACGTGAACATGGTCAGGTCCAAGCTTTTTCAGAAGAATGGCCAGTGCACAATCATGATAATCCTTTGCCTGACTCAGGTCACCCAGCTTTTTGTGTACAATACCCAGGCTATTGTAAGAATTTGCAACCTCAACATGGTCAGGTCCAAGCTTTTTCAGACGAATGGCCAGTGCACGATCATGATAATCCTTTGCCTGACTCAGGTCACCCAGCTTTTTGTGTACAATACCCAGGCTATTGTAAGAGTTTGCAACGTCAACATGGTCAGGTCCGAGCTTTTTCAGACGAATCGCCAGTGCACGATCATGATAATCCTTTGCCTGACTCAGGTCACCCAGCTTTCCGTGTACAATACCCAGGCTATTGTAAGAACTTGCAACGTCAACATGGTCAGGTCCAAGCTTTTTCAGACGAATGGCCAGTGCACGATCATGATAATCCTTTGCCTGACTCAGGTCACCCAGCTTTTCGTGTACAATACCCAGGCTATTGTAAGAATTTGCAACGTCAACATGGTCAGGTCCAAGCTTTTTCAAAAGAATGGCCAGTGCACGATCATGATAATCCTTTGCCTGACTCAGGTCACCCAGCTTTATGTATACAATACCCAGGCTATTGTAAGAATTTGCAACCTCAACATGGTCAGGTCCAAGCTTTTTCAGACGAATGGCCAGTGCACGATCATGATAATCCTTTGCCTGACTCAGGTCATCCAGCTTTCCGTGTACAATACCCAGGCTATTGTAAGAATTTGCAACGTCAACATGGTCAGGTCCGAGCTTTTTCAGACGAATGGCCAGTGCACGATCATGATAATCCTTTGCCTGACTCAGGTCACCCAGCTTTTCGTGTACAATACCCTGGCTACTGTAAGAATCTGCAACGTCAACATGGTCAGTTCCGAACTTTTTCAGACGAATGGCCAGTGCACGATCATGATAATCCTTTGCCTGACTCAGGTCATCCAGCTTTTTGTGTACAATACCCAGGCTATTGTAAGAATTTGCAACCTCAACATGGTCAGGTCCAAGCTTTTTCAGACGAATGGCCAGTGCACGATCATGATAATCCTTTGCCTGACTCAGATCACCCAGCTTTCCGTGTACAATACCCAGGCTATTGTAAGAACTTGCAACGGCAACATGGTCAGGTCCAAGCTTTTTCAGACGAATGGCCAGTGCACGATCATGATAATCCTTTGCCTGGCTCAGGTCACCCAGCTTTTCGTGAACAATACCCAGGCTATTGTAAGAATTTGCAACGTCAACATGGTCAGGTCCAAGCTTTTTCAGACGGATGGCCAGTGCACGATCATGATAATCCTTTGCCTGACTCAGGTCACCCAGCTTTCCGTGTAGAATACCCAGGCCATTGTAAGAATTTGCAACCGCAACATGGTCAGGTCCGAGCTTTTTCAGACGGATGGCCAGTGCACGATCATGATAATCCTTTGCCTGACTCAGGTCACCCAGCTTTCCGTGTACAACACCCAGGCTATTGTAAGAATTTGCAACGTGAACATGGTCAGGTCCAAGCTTTTTCAGACGAATGGCCAGTGCACGATCATGATAATCCTTTGCCTGACTCAGGTCACCCAGCTTTTTGTGTACAATACCCAGGCTATTGTAAGAATTTGCAACCTCAACATGGTCAGGTCCAAGCTTTTTCAGACGAATGGCCAGTGCACGATCATGATAATCCTTTGCCTGACTCAGGTCACCCAGCTTTTTGTGTACAATGCCCAGGCTATTGTAAGAAATTGGAACGTCAACATGGTCAGGTCCGAGCTTTTTCAGACGAATGGCCAGTGCACGATCATGATAATCCTTTGCCTGACTCAGGTCACCCAGCTTTTTGTGTACAATACCCAGGTTATTGTAAGAATTTGCTACGTCAACATGGTCAGGTCCGAGCGTTTTCAGACGAATGGCCAGTGCACGATCTTGATAATCCTTTGCCTGACTCAGGTCACCCAGCTTTTCGTGCACGTTACCCACGTGTCCGTAGACAACTGCAATATCTAAGCCAGGGTCGTGCTCGTCGACCATATCGATGAAACGTCTTGAAGTTTCGTATTCACAATGCATATAGCAAAACACACTCATTCTATGGAGGTCCATCGCATGGTTCTTGATCAAAAAGCCACCTTGGTCGACTTGAGAAATAACCTTCTTAGAAAAATATCTCTCAAGTTCTCGGGCTAAATTTATCAAATGAGTAACATGTCTGCTGTTTATTAGAGCAAAGAACTCGTCGTTGTCCCTTGATGGACATTTTTCTACAAAACGACTGAATGATCCAATCACTCCACTGACGACCTCGTTGTGCTTATCATCCGAATGAGCTGCAGCCAAAGTCTTAATAGAATTATGTACAACCTGATGCACACGAATGTAAACGTCAGTTTCGTCTCTTTCAAACATCAGCAGGGAGCACCTTTGTATCTTCAAACGAATCATCTCTTTGTCTTGAATTTCTTTATCCACACTTGTGATAAAGTCTTCAATGATATTAAGACTTAATGGTTGTGGTGCACACAGGGACAGGAAATTAAAGGCGTGATGCATAATTTTGTTGGATTCCATAGCTGTTTCTACGGCCAGTGTTGTTGCTGTGGTCATGGACTTTGCATAGCTTGGGTTGACTTCGGCAAGAAATGTCTCCATGGCATTTCTTTGGCCTGTTTCAAGTTTTGCAAGATAGTCTTTCCAGCCAAAATTAGATGTCTGTCGAACTTCTCTGACATAAGTGGCGGCACTTGCCAAGGCGAGAGGCTGGTAGTCCAACGCCTGAGCAACTTTGATTTCCATCTCTTTGTCCGTGATTCCTGAGAGCTTTTCCAATAAACAACTGACATCATCAAGATTCATTCCGTTGCTTATTGAGATGTGTTTGTTGAAGGAACTTGCTTGAGGAATTGACCCACTGTCTTGAGTTGTGATAAGCAACTGGCCTCTTGCCCACATCTCATTTTCGGCTTCGGGTAGATGGACATGCACATGTGATAGACTCGCGACATTATCAACTACGAGCAGCCAAGATGTATAAAGCCCAATTTTCGTTCCGATCAATGCCCTAAGATTGGTGATTTTCTCATTTGTTGTCAAGTCCTCTGAATGGAGGGTGGTTGTCACCGCGTACTCGGGACACTTAAGACGCCGTGAAAAAGCCACATACGATTGTAGCACAGTATCTGGACTTTCACCATTTATCGTCATCACAAATGAGGTACCATCCGGAAGATCTTTAATTTCTCTGTAGAATCGTTCAGTCACAAGACCCGCTAGTTGAGACTTTCCACTTCCAGGATTTCCGGAGATGTAAAGGTAACTTAACCTGTCTTTATTTGCTGTTTTAAGTTCTCTAAGCTGTTGCATTATTTCGGCCACCTCTCGGTCGCGACTTGTTACGTCATGTGAGGGTTTAGGAGGGAGGACACAGAAGGGGAAGATATCATTATTTAACTGATCCTCAAGGACCTGTCTTTCGTGCTCCTTCTCCTGGAGTTCCTCCGTGGGAAAGCTCGTTTGACTCTTAATCTCTTGAATTTTCATTGTGGAAAGACCGAGCGCTTGAAATGCAGTGTGAACTTTGCTAATGATGTCTGTAAACTGCAGGTCTGAAAGATTTCCTTCCGACATGTGCGCAAAATCTTCATTTCGAACCTTTCTGAGGGCATCGACATTTGATCTGACAACTGGGCTGAGTTTGTCAATACAATCTGAGAAAAGAATAGCGTAGAAAAGCATCGTACAATCCCATTCTGCTCTGTTTCCACCAATCATGGTTGTAAGGAGATGCGCATTTCTTTTTTGCTTCTGAGTAGATTCCTTGTTTTGAAAGTCCACTCCATTTCTTGGTTCATCCTTCCATTCCCCTGACGTTGTTGCACCGTAGCGATTGTCCCATTCTTGTTTGAAGATTATTCGCAGACCATCAGTTAATACATCAGTGACAACGTAACAAATCCTGTAGTAGTTGAGCTGCTCTTTGCTGTATTCCATCGCCATGACGATATTCACGTTTGAAAGGGCCTTAGTAGAGACAAATTGATTCATATTAGCGAGTTCAGACTATATGTTTTCTCAGTTTTTAGAGATTTTTGAATATGAGTGGTTCTTATCAGCCCTCATTTGTGGCTTAATTGACTGTTTCAAGTCCACTGTCCATTTTCACTTGTCCGATTTCAAGTGTTTGTAACTGCACAGGCCAAATCGGACAGTTAAGCAGCCAATAGAAATTAGGCACTTTAAGCCATCAGCCAATAAAAATCAACTATTAATGCCAGTCAGTCAATGCCAGCCAATCAAAATGAAAAATAAACTTCTTGAGTGGCCAGGTTGAGAGGTCCACATTGAAAACAAACATGGACGAAATTAACTGGTCCAATGACTATTATCAGTAACAGTAAAAAAAGCTATGCGCTCTTACAACAAATTTTTCACTCCTGAGTTTCTCAAATTTTGGTATTTTAACAATTAATTGGTAATTGCAGAGTTGCAGTTTAAGTTTTTTATGCCGTATTTCCTTGAATAGAACCGAAAGTTGTGGTGTAACGAGCTTATCTCAAATTCTGAAGTGTGCTGCGTATTTGCGTTATTGCTGTTTCTTGTTCAGTGGGTCCATTGTGTAAATATCGATGAACCTTTTCAGCATTTAATTTAACCTATTCTGATGAGAAATTCCATTAATAGAGGAGCTTAATCAACCGTATTGATCGATAAAGAAACAAATGATGTGCTTGCAAGCAAGGACCCATTTGAATTCGCGAAAGAACATCAGCAGTAATCGACTGTATCTGTTATCAATGCAAATGCGTAGTGTGAGTTTAATATGTAATGCAGCATGCGTATCTGACCAGGTGCGGTAATGCGGTGATTCCAGGAATATTTTGCTGTGTCATCCTTACTATAATAAGTATGAGGTCAAACAAACCATTAATCATTCTGCATCGTTTTACGGTTGCTTTGTTTAGTTGAAAAATAACGGCACAAAATCAAGCACTTGCACATCCTGCCAGACGATGTAAAGATCTCAATTGGAGATTTCTCAAGCAATGGAAAGCAAAAGACTTTAAAGCGAAAATTCCCTTCTGTCGCGAATGACAGAAGGGTTGACCCTATTGATCCCTTATTGTGGTATTTGAAAGCTTAAAGTAGTTCCCGGCACCTTTCTTCTAATACTTTTTACCGTTTCCATATACTCGTGTTATCTAGAATCTCCAGAAATTAATAGGTTTCAGTTATTTCTGTGTCACAATTTCAGTTATACACGCATCCTCATAAATCATATTTGGAGTGTAGCTAGTCAACGAAGGTCAACTTGGTTCGAGGTTTTGGTTCTGTTAATAGTTTATCGCGATATTAACAAGTATAAATGTTGTCTACACCTGGACCTCAACATAGTTTATACAGTTTCTTCTCATCTGGTTTGTTCTTTTCGGCGCAAAAGACTTTGTAGTGATCAGATTATGGTTGTCAAACCACGAAGAGTAGAATTCCACCGTGACCTTGTGGAATAACAATGAAGTTTCCTCGAAGTCAGTAGCTTATAAGGTACATTGATTACGTGATAATAAGTAAGAAGTACAGCTGTGCGCTGATATCATAGCAAGGACTGACTGGTTCTAAGGACTTGAACATTTTGTCTTAGGCTAAAACCAGTCAAATTAATGCAATTTGATTTCGTGACTTGACGGTACGTAAACAGGACTTTGGTCTTAAATAACACATTCGAGTTTTCGGGATCAAGATTCGGCTGAAGCATACTATAAATTAAACTTAAAACAGATACAACCAATTATGAATGATAGCCACCGTTTCCAGTGATTCTTGAATAATTCAACACAGAGACACGGATTTCGCGTCAACGAGTTGTTTTGTCAAAATAATCATCCGTTGTGACATTCGATCGCCTAAGGGCAAGTTTTACAAGTATTATTATGAATAACAGATCGATACGTGCGTGTTGAACCCGAATCGAAACGACGTCATGTAGCTCGCCTGGCTAGCAATTATCGACTTCTAGCTCTAAAAATGAGACAGTGGACGCCACGTGAAAGAAATTTTCAAATGTTTCGACGCAACTCGACGTAAGATCTATACTTCTCGAGGATGAAATTCAGGAAGATAACTCGGAGATTGATGAAACAAAGGTTGCGTCGTAACTAGGGGAAATAACTTATTGTACTTTACGCATTATTTAACTCAAGAGCTAAAGGAATTGAACCATACAAGTGCAGTTCAATGTGTCAATGTCCGGGCCTTACTTCTTCGCCAATACTCTTGGGGTACCTGATGGTAAAAATCCGAAATGTTTCTTGAGTTTTTCGAGAACTTTCGAATATTATGTACATGTATGTTTTGAATGACTTCTACTTAATTGATTGAAACTTTTCACTGATAAGTTTTAAAATTAGTTAGCTTCCACTATCTCTTAATTGAAACTGTTTTGGCGTGATTTTTGTAAGTGGCGGGTATCAAATACTAAATGGGGTTCATAATGTGAACTTTAGATAACGATTATTATATTAGAGTTTCTTGTTAATCCGTTTTTGAATTTCATGTTTCTATAGCAACAGAATATCCAATTCTTCTGTTCTATAATGATCGCTGTTTTAAGTGTTCTTAGTACTTATGACAGGAATACCAGTGTGGATGGTAAAGCAAGCCCAAAACGAAAGTTTTTAAAGGGAAAATTCCCGTGACCGTATCGAAACCTTTGTTCCCTCATTTTAGTATTTGAAAGCTTTAAGTAGGCAGTTTCTTCCAGTAATTTAATACTTTTGACCGTTTTTAACTCAGTACACTCGTATTATCTAGCTATAGAATCTCCAAAAATTACTAGGTTTCGGATATTTCGGTAGTTTCGGTTGTGTTTTCCTCGATTACAGGTGTCTCAAACAATGGAAAGCGAAAGCGTTCGGAAAATGAAAATTCCCTTTTGTTTCGAATGCATCGTATTACTGAAAAGGCGTCTGGACAGGATAGATAAGTGGACCGTAGTGAAACTTTTGGTTTCCTTACTACCAAATTTATGATAACTTGCACTTTTGAGAACTGTGAATAGGAAACTCCAAAGGTAAAAAATAAATGTTACAGAGTGTCGCACGCATCACCAGAGATCGTATTTGGAGAGTAAATGGTAAACGAAGGTCAAATTGGCTCGAAGTTTTGGCTCTGTTGAGAGTTTATCGTGATCAAATGTTTTTTAACGAGTAAATGCTGTCTACACCTGGACCTCAACATAGTATATATAGTTTCTTCTCATTTGCTTTGTTCTTTTCAGCGTAAAAGACTTTCTAGTGATCGAATTATGTTTGTCAAACCACGAAGAGTAGAATTCCACTGTGACCTTCTGGATTAACAATGAAGTCTGCTCGATTTCAGTAGCTTAAGATACATTCCATGATAATAAGTAAGAAGTACAGTTGTGCACTGATATTATAGCAAGGATTTAGTGGTTGTAAGGACTTTAACATTTTGTCCTAGGCCGAAATCAGTAAAATTAATTCAATTAGATTTCGTAACTTGACGGCACGTAAACAGTACAAAGAAATGAAGGGTTTGGTCTCAACTGACACGTTTGAGTCTTCGGGATCAAGATTCGTCTGAAAAATACTATAAATTGAGCTTACAACAAAAAAGGACAAATAATGAATGATACCCACCGTTTTAAGAAATTCTTGAATAATTCAGCACAGACACATTTATTACGCGTCAACAAGTTGTTTTGTCAAAATGATCCTCCGTTGTGACACCCCACTGCCTAAGGGTAAGTTTTTACAAGTATTGTTATGAGTAAGAGATCGATACGGTGCTCTGAGCTTCAATCAAAACGCCGTCATTTAGCTCGCCTTGCAAGCAATTAGTGATTTCTAGCTCTTAAAATGAGACAGTAGACGCAACGTGAAAGAAATTTTCAGATCTTTCGACGCAACTCGACCTAAGATCCAGTTATCAAGAATGAAATGCAGAAAGATGACTCAGAGATTGATGAAACAAAGGTTGCGTCGAAACAAGGGGAAATACATTGATTACTTTTCTCATTATTTTAACTCAAGAGCTAAAAGAGTTGAACCATACAAGTGCAGTTCAGTGTCTCAATGTCCAGGCCTTATTTTTTTTTCAAACACTCTGGTGATAACTAACGGTGAAAATCTTAACGTTTCAAGAGTTTTTCGAGAATTTTCGTATGTTTTTAATTTCTACATGTATGTTTTGAATGACTTCCACTGAATAAATAGATTTAAACTTTCACTACTGAGATTTGACACGAGTTAGCTTCCACTGTCTCTTATTTAATCTGTTTTGGCGGGATTTTTGTAAGTGGTGGGTATCAAATACGAGAAAGGGCTCATAATGTGAATTTTGGATAACGAATATTATATTGAAGTTTCTTGTTAATCCGTTTTCGAATTTCATGTTTCTCTGACAATAGAATATCAAATTCTTTTGTTCTACAATAATCGCTTAGGTGCTCATGACAGGAATAACTGTGTGGACACACAAGGAGTAAGTAGGTTATATGAACTAAATCTGTAAATTGTTCATATTTCCGGATATTTAGCGTTGTAAATCGACCACATTTAGTTCCTCATATTATTCCTTATTGTGGGTTCAAATTCTCAACGGTCCTCCCGCGCAACTTGCAACAACAACAACAGCATTTATTATTTATAGAGCGCCTTTTCTATAAACGTAATTAATCAAATGCGTATTACAATATAACAATGAATATAATAATAACTTAATAAAACTATATAAATAAATATATACATGTGTTCTTTAAAAATATACCCTAAAAAATCTCAACAAAATGCCTTGGGAAACAAATAGTCTTAACTAAACGTTTAAAAGAATCAACGTTTTTTGCCTGCCTCATTAGCAAAGGAAAACCGTTCCATAGCACTGGGGCCGCCACCGTAAACGCTACCGCAAATAAATAATAACATTTCCGAGAATAATCTTTCCCTTTTTTCTCGAGACGTGAGGATAGGACGCCTGTGAGCAAACTGGTATTTTTCATTTTTGACTGACTTCACGCTGAGGTAACTAAATCCTCGGTATACGTGAATCTTTTGAGGACAGAACGTGGTTCAACAGAAAACCAACACGCTTTCGCAATTCCCCTTCCTGGATGCAGGGTTAATCTTCGGAGTTGCATGCGAGGTAAATCTTTGGATCAGGTTCGACCTCCTGCTTTTAGGTGAAATGCCAGCGCACAGTCATCGTAATCTTCTCCAAGTTTCAGGCCATCCAGTCCTCTAGACTCTTTCAGTGTGGGCGTTCAGGTTATTACGAAAATTTGCGACGTCAACATACCCAGATCCGAGCTCAGTTCTTTTACGAATGACCAATGCACGATGATAATAATCTTCCGCACGATCCAGGTTACCGAGCTCACGGTGCACCTGACCGAGGTTGCTGTAAGTAGTTACCATATGAACATGGTCAGGTCCAAGCTTTTTCAAAAATATGGCCCGTGCACGATTATAGTAATCTCTTGCCTTCTTTAGGTTACCCTGGTTATGGTGTACCCGACCCAGGTTATTACAAGAAATGGCGACATCAACATGCTCCGGCCCGAGCTCTTTCAACCTGATGGACAGTGCAAAATTATGATAATTTTGTGCTTGCTTCAGGTCACCCAGCTTTTTATATACATTTCCCATGCGATTATAGGTAGTGGTAAGTTTCAGGTGATGGACTCCGTAGTTTTTCAGACGAATGTCTAATGCACGGCGAAAGTAACCTTTCGCTTTCTCCAAGTCTCCCAGTTCATCGTGGACAGAACCAAGGTTATTGCAAGACTTCGCGACGCCATTATGCTCTGGTCCAAATCTCTCCATGTAGATGGTTAGTGCACGATTATAATGATGTACCGCCTTCTCTAGTTCGCCCAGTTTACTGTTTGCACTACCTAATTTATTGTGAGTAGCTGCAATAGCTAAGACAGCATCTGGCTGAAACACGTTGAACAAGTTTAATGCCAGACTGAGATAAATTCTTGCTGCTTCGAATTCAGAATGGCGATAGGAAAACTTGCCGAATGCTCGAAAGTCATGAGGATAATCCATGATTAAAAACTCGCTTTTGTCGACCTGAGAGGTGATCTGTTGAGGGAAATTCCTTTCAAGTTTTGCAGCTAGAGGTCTCAAATGAGGAATGACATGCCTGCCGTTTACAAGAGCATGTAGATCGTCGTTATCCTTTGAAAGGAAATGTTTTACCAGACTTTTGAACGATCCAAAAACACCGTTGACGACCTCGTTGTGCTTGTCATTGGAATAAGCTTCAGTCACAGTTTTAATGGCGCTGTGCACAACCTGATGAACACGTATGTAGACTTCTCTTTCCTCTGTCTTAAAGACAAGCAATGAGCACCTTCGTATCTTCAAACGAATCTCTTTGTCTTCAATGTCCTTAGCCATGCCTATGATGTAGTCCACGATGATGTTAAGACCTAATGGCTGTAGTGCACAAACTGAGAGGAAATTAAAGGCATGATGAATAACTTTGTCGGTTGCCATGGCTTTTTCTACGGCCAGTGTTGTTGCTGTGGTCATGGACTTTGGATAGCTTGGGTTGGTTTCAGCGAGAAAGATCTCAGTGGTACTTCGTCGGCCATTCTTCAATTCCGTTAGGTAGTCATTCCAACCAAAACTCGACATCTTTCGAACCTCTCTGATGTAAGTGGCAGCGCTTGCTAAGGCAAGAGGCTGGTAGTCTAACGCTTCGGCAACATTTATCTCCATCTTACTGTCCTTGATTCCAGAGAGCTTCTCCAACAAGCAACAGGCATCAGATGGCTTCATTCCCTTGCTCACTACGATGTTTTGAATGAAAGGGCTCGTGTTAGGGATAGCTGCAGTGTCTTGTGTTGTGATCAGCAATTGGCCCCTGGCCCATACTTCATTTTCAGCGTCGGGAAGATGGACGTGCACTCGTAATATACTCGTTACATTGTCGACAACTACCAGCCAGGACGCGTAAAGCTCGACTTTTGGGCCCATCAATGACTTAAGATTGGCGATCTTCTCATCCGTTGTTAAGCCATCAGAGGTAAGAGTTTTAGTGACTGCGTGCTCGGGACACCTTAATTGGCGAGAAAAATCGACGTACGATTGTAGCACAGTATCTGGGCTTTTACCATTTATCGTCATTACAAACGAGGTATTTTCTGAGAAAGTTTTAGCTTCTTCATAGTATTTCTCTGCCACTAGACCAGCCAGCTGAGATTTTCCACTTCCAGGATTTCCTGAGATGTACAGGTAGCCTAACTTGTTTTGTTTTCCTAGTTCTTTGAGCTGTTGCATTATCTCAGTTACTTCACGGTCACGACCCGTGACGTCATGTGAGGGTTTAGCAGGGAGGACACAGAAGGGAGAGATTTTACTGTTTAATTGATCTTCAAGGGCCTGTCGTTGTTCTTCCTTTTCTTTCAATTCCATCCCTTTTTCCTGAAGTTCTTGTCTTAGATCTTCCACCTTCTTCAAAACAAGTGTCAACTCTTTTGTGGGAAAACTTTTCTGATTCTCAATTTCTTGAACCTCCAAAGTGGAGAGGCCGAGTGCTTCGAAGGCAGCGTGAACTTTTCCGATGACTTTTCGAAACTGCACGTCTGGGAGATTTCCATCTGATATGTGCGCAAAGTCTTCATTTCGAAATTTTCTAAGGGTATCGACATTTGATCTGACAACTGGATTAAGGCCGTGAATACAATCAGAATAAAGTATGGCGTAGAAAAGCATTGTACAATCCCACTCTGCTCTGTTTCCACCTGTCATGGTTGTATGGAGACGGGCATGTTTCCTTTGGTTCCGAGGAGACTCCTTGTTTCGAAAGTCCATTCCATTTTTTGGCTCATCTTTCCACTCCCCTGACCGTGTTGTACCATAGCGACTGTCCCATTCTTGCTTGAAGATTATTCGGAGACCCGTGGTCAGTATCTTAGTCACAATGTAACAGATCCTGAAGTAGTTAAGCTGCTCTTTATTATATTCCATCTTCACCTTCGAAGGAAGAAAGAAATTGTTACTTTTATTTTCTAAGGGTAAGTTTGGACTTGGCTCTCTCAGCTTTTGATGCATTTCACTCAGACGGCAAATCAAATAGATTGACAGCTGTCATGTCATGCTAATTGAAGCTAGATTATTGGCTGGGTGGTACAATGTTACTTGTTGGCAAGGGTGGCTTCAGATAAGAGGCCAAAGAATTGATGTGGGAAAACGTGAGAAATTCCACAAAGAAGGGCTATAGTCACGGTCAATTCGATTTTGAACAATTTTCCACCATCCTAATGATTTGATTTTTTCTAATTAACTATATTTAGCTTACTAATTTATAATTGATAGAGTTCTCCATCTACTGGAGTGAGCGTCCACAAAAAAGTCACAGAACCCATGTTAATGTGATGAACAAAGTTTTTTTTTCACCGTGTACTGTCGCGAGCGTAGGAGTTCTTATGTTAATGGGGTTGTTGAGCCTCACAGATTCTCACATGGTTTTGGCTTACGGGCTTTGACTTGGACGAAAGAGCAGCTGGAATAACAGTTCGCGCTCTGATTTTGCTAACAATGACAGTGGTTTTGACAAAAGAGAGATGATTAGACTGAGAGAGATAATCAGGGTGTTGGCTGAGACATGATATGTTATTTAACCAGTTTACTTTCTTACATCAGTATGTATATTCTCCGTGATGTTCGTTAAACATTTCCAGTGGTAATAACAGGGAAAATTTTTCTTTCAAGAGCTTTTCTAGTTGGCTACCGCATGGTATGTCTTAGTTATTCAATTAAGTGGTGAGAACTTTAATCTTTTGCCATCACCTTCCAATGTTGCGTGACGTACCCCCAAAGACTAGGGCCCAGTTCCTCAAGGGGCGGATAAAGCTATCTAACGGATAAATCGCTATCCAGTGGATAAGTGATTGTAAAACATACTGCGTTATCCACCGGATAGAGATTTATCCAGTGGACAGTGTCGTCCGATTTTCGAATAACCGGGGCCAGTTTATTATAAACAACTATTGGATGAGGTTTTTGTGATATCAAGAATAATCAAAGTCGATAATTTATAAGAGATGAACTGATGAACTGATAATTTAAGAGATAAATGTAAGAGAACACTACACGGAAGAGGGAATTGGTAACTGGGCAGACTTTGAACTCGACTTGATAAATGCAATATCCGCTGCAGATATTGTATTTATTACGTCAAATTTACAGGCTATTGCAATTGTATATTGATTGAATGCCTCAACGAATCGACCAAGTCGATTGAGCGCAAAAATATTGTTTTATTTATTCATTAAAGCAAATTTCGCCGTACCCTCAAGTCTGTTTTGACAAAAAATTTTATGCATGAGCCCCAATGTTCATTTTTCGTTTTTGAAATTTCCATTGGGAGACACGTGAGGAACTTTCTCGAGAGAGGAAGAGAGAGGACCCTGGGAACGAGGTTTGATAACTTAATGTAAACGCTGGCGTTTTTAGTATCCCCTCTGCGATAAACAAAACGTTAAAAGTGAGTTCAACAAGAGACTGAGGCAATTAGTATAGCGTCCAATGTTGACTTGTCGAGGAAAAATGAAATTGATTGCTTTCTGAACTCAGAGAAATTGCCGGCCTAAGTTAATATCATCATAAAAATTGGATCACCTTGACAACTAAACAACTGAAGCCATTTCCTTTTTGCTCATAAAGCATGCCAAAAGTTGAAAAAGAAATTTCACTAAAAAAGTAAGAAACGATCACCGTGCAAGCGAAGCTTCTAGGTCAGTCACATTTAATCAAATTTTAAACAGGCTTTTTTTCATTGTAAGGCATGTAACGCAATATTTCCTGCAAGTCACTGTCGTTTCCTTACCATGATAAAACTCAGCAGTGAACCGTATTTCCTCGAATAGGCGCCCACGCTCAAACAAGCGCCCTTCTCGAATAGGCACCCCCTCCTCCCTCATTCTCTTAAATTTTCGTCGGGATACTAGGAAAACCTGTTTCCACTGCCACTTGATCTTTAACTTTTTAAGTTTCAACTACAGCGGAATCAGTGAGGGTAAATAGTATCTTTTCCGTTGAATTACTTCCAGTTTCGTCTCTCTCCTTATGCTTGTACAGTTCCTTTATGTGTGTTGCCTGTTTCTTTTAATGTTTGTCCTATTGCTGCGCTTACCTACTAAGCGCCATCCTCCCAATAAGCGTCTTTCTTTTTGCCCGGAATTTTAAATAAGCGCCACGGTGTCAATTAAGTTATGGAAATCACAATAACTGGAAGCCACGAGGCACGAGATTAACTAGGTAACTTGCTCGCGCACGTTGCAACTTGTTCGTGCCGGTTGCAGCTGGCTCTACTCAAACTGGCATCAACAAATTACCAACGTTTGCTAGTTTACCGAAATCCACCTTGAGGAAGGATTTCTCGTCATCGTATCGAAATCCGTTTTTAGATTTCATGTTCTATTGAAAAATCCGAAAATCCTCATTTCAAAAGCTAATTTCACTAAGATTTCTCAATCGAAAGCACCTCAGATTACCATCAAAAGAAAATCCGGTTTGACTATAAATGTCCACATAACACGGGCGCTGAGGCTATTTTCCAATTGATAACCATAAAATCGCTTGGAAGTTAAATTCTCTTTTACAGAGAGCCGTTTTTCGCGCGGCACTCTTCTTTGATGAGTTCATCTTAATTATCGTACCAAATGTTCCTCATTACTTAGGCTTCCTGTGGAGAAGACTAAGTTTGCTATACTGTTGCGTGTGTCAGTGTGTCAGTATCTGTTGCTAAGGTTACGCAGCTTCATCAGAGGATATTTACAACGCTGATTACAACTTTAAAAGTACGATCACCTGATACAGACCAATGACGATTTACCACACGGGAAGTCCGCTTCGAGACGAGACATTTCGCAGGAGATTGTGTTTCTTCTGAAAGGTCACCTTCAAATGTTTATCTTTTTAGACGCCGCTTGAAACACGAAATTACATTTGATGGGTTGCCAACTACGAAGTTGAAATGGAAGCGCGTTGTAACAGCGCTTGAAAAGCTAGTGGGACTCCAGCCAGTACCGTTGAGTTTTCGCCTAAAATCGAATTCTTTTTTCAGTTTTTGTTCGGCGATGCTTAGAATAAACGCTTAAAACTAGTTTTAAGATGAACGTTTGCGTGTTTTAAAAAGATGAGGAGCTACTGAAAGAACTTAAGTAAATCCAGTGATGTTCTCGGTTGCATTTCGTGAGATTTCTCCGAAAGCTTCTAAGAGTCACGGAAGACTCACTTCCGGCATTCGTTTTCGTTTTTATTTTATTCGTCGCTGTACTCACTTGTCTACATACGACTTGGCTGTATCCTCAGGCTTTCGTGACAAATTTAACTGTCAAAAAGATTACTATCGGTTCTATTCTCTAAGATATATTAAATTTGGCATGAATTTTCCCACAAAGCAACCTCTCAAGATATTAAAGAAACCTTAAGTCTGATTTCATTCTCCATGCGCGTCAAAGAAATCGGTGAATAGAGAAATAATTCAACCGGTTAGGGTCAACTTTGGTTGGAATTACTGGTTCTCAAATGTTCAACATAAATCTCGACCTTGAATTGTTTTTTTGACCAGAGGATGTTACTTCAACTGATTTCGTGTGCTGAAATAAAGGAAATATTATAAAGGAAATATTATAATATTACATCTGGGTCTTCCGGAGGTATTTGGTTTTAGGTCTTTGGTCTTTGGTGTGTAGACACCCTTCGCATCAGCACCTTAACACAAAACGAACACGATAAATATTATCAATATATACTCACAGTTTCAAGAAACTTTGTCGGTAGAAATTCAGCTGCTGGATTGAATGAGAAGAGTAATGCAAAAATTTATTGTGCTTAGCGTGCTAATTTCTGCGTGCTTGTCACGTGCTTTTCGTCATTCGTATTTTAGAAGTTGTAAATGCAAAACAAGGGACACAGCTCCAAGAACCACCCTTCTATGCCTGTACACGTCCTGCCTGATTATAATAGACAATTCAATAAATGAAAGTTCTCAAAGTACTCTGTTTGTAAAGTATCTCTTGTTTACGTGATTTTTTCGTTGATTTCCGTCTATGACGAAGTGTCTTTTTGCTGAGTTGAACCTATAATGGTTCTCCTCTTGTTACAAGATTTTTCGTTGATTGTGCTCGGATTTTGTCCCTTTTCTTATGATTGAAGTGTTCTTGTTTCTTTTTGCTGAGCTTTGCTGAGTTGAACCTACATTGCTTTTCAAGCAAAAAATCATTGAAGGAGAGAAAGGATTCAAGCAAAAGAAGCTCAGGAATGCCATTGGCTTGACTTTAGTCAGCTCCTACTACGGAATCCAGTACTGTTGGAAGTGTCTCAAAGAAACTCTGCAAAAGAAAAAAAACCAAGACTCACAATTAATTGCTGAGGAGAATCAATTTGCTCACTAGTCAACCCCCTGGTAGATTCGCACCCGCCCATTCACTCAGATATGGTCAAAACCCCGGTAAACAAATGTCGATTTTCGCTTCCGACAAGTGAGTAAAAGGGCAAGCGCATAACATACAAATCAATTGCTATTGTGTCTATTTGTGACCTTAACAGTAACAAAATAAGTAACGAAGTTAATGTATTTAGACCACGCCAACAGCTCGTACAGTGCGACGATTGCACTCCTTAGGAGCATTTTATTAGTCCAAAGAACACACCACTTGGCCACCATAAGAGAACAGGTAGATTGGCGATGCTGTGTGCTTTATAATTTCATGTTAGGTTTTATTTTGCATTTTATATTTTTTGGGCTTAGTGAATTATTTTTCGTTAGTTCAGGTTTAGTTTACGTCTGCTGAATTTTAGTTCAGGCCTACAATGATTTTCTTCGTTTAGGACAACGTGATTCATTCGTTTCCATCGCTTATTTGCTTTGCTTCGCCACGTGATTTGTATCGATTCGTTTAGTCGATGAAACAAATTGAACACAAAGACATTTTAATGTGACTACAATAAAAGTTTAACGC